CTCCTCCTCCTCCTCCTCCTCCTCCTCCTCCTCCTCCTCCTCCTCCTGTACTAGAGATGGAACCCAGGGGTGCTTTACCACTGAGCCACATCCTTAGCCCTTTTTATATTTTATTTTGAGACAGGGTCTCGCTAAGTTGCTGAGGCTGGCTTTGAACTCGCCATCCTCCTGTCTCAGCCTCCCGAGCTGCTGAGATGACAGGCATGCGCCACTGCTCCCAGCACAGAGGGTTTTTTCTTTTCTTTTTAGGAGTCGATTTTCCTTATTCCCAGGGACTGAGATGATGGGGCAGGCCTGGGGGTGGCTCCGTTGCTAGTGTCCCCTTGAGAACTCACATCTTGAATTTTCTTTGAGGAACAGCTGTATTGAGATGTCCTCACACCATACAGTTCTCCCACTGAGACCTGCAAATTTGGGGGCTTGTTAGAGTGTCCACAGAACTGTGCCATCACCACAAGGAGTTTTAGAATGTTTTTATCACCCTGCCCCACTGGTTATCCCTAGCCACCACCCATCTGCTTCCCAGCTCTGTGAATTCACCTGTTTGGGACATTTCCTCTCAAAGGAACCCTGCACCGTGTGACCTTTCATGGCAGGCATTTGTCACTCTGCATCATGTTTTCAAGGTTCACCCATGCTGTGGCACAGGTGAGGGTCCCATTCCTTTTCATGGCACAGTAATGTTCCATTGTGTAGTGCTAAGGTTTGGATATGGCTTGAGTGTATCCCTCAAAAGGTTCCTGTGCCAAAAATTGGTCCCCAGTGTGGCAGTGTTGTGGTGGCACTTTTATGTGAGGTGAGGCCTCGTGAAAGGTAGAGGGACTCAGGCCAGTCTCAGGGTGGGGTGGGTCTCACTGGAGTTAATTCTCTAGAAAGCAAGTGAGGACTACTTGCTCGGCCCCTTCTGCATGATGCCCATTTCCTGCTTCTCTGCCACGTTGTCATGCAGCCAGAGGATCCTTGCCATGCTGTTGGGACCTTCCACAACCATGAGCCAAATAAACCTCTTTATTTTATAAGTATCCAGCCTCAAGCATTTTGTTGTAGCAACACAAAACAGACCGAGTCCTCCGGACGCACCACATTTGGCTCCTCCATTTGTCCTTTCAGGGACGTCTGGATGGTGCCACCTTTGGGCACCTGTCTGCTTTGCAAGTGAGCCAAATTAATTCCTGCCCCAGGGCCTTTGCCCTCACTCTTTCCTCTTCTGTCACTCCTTCGTGCCTGTGGACTCAGCCAGTCCAGCACCCATCTCTCGCGGGCTGTGGGTTCCAGCAGGGCAGGGACCGTGTTGTCTCATCCTCTGCTTCATCCCGGCGTCTAGTGCAGTGACCGCACAGGGCCACGGCTCAGCCGCTGCGTGTGGGAAGGGAGGGCAGATCAAGGGGAGGAATGGCGGGAGGCAGGAGCTAGGAGGCCCAGCACAGCCTCAGCACCGCCCCACCCATGTCTGCAGCCCACGCACTCCCCCCCCCAGCTCAGCGCCCTGCCCGCCTGCCCCGTGGCCACCCACGGGGGCTGCAAATGTCCCACCGCCCACTGAGGCCTCCAGATCGTCCCCTGGAAAGGCTGCTGAGAGGAGGAGGGGCCCTGGGGTCCCAGCCTGGCTGTCCCCACCACAGTGACACCCGCTTCCCCTGGGGGCTGTGTTCATGGGTGGACTGCAGACATGGGGGGGGGCTCTGTGGTGACATCCTGAGGACGCCAGTGTGTGGAGGCCCACGTCCCTAAGTGGTCAGGGGAGTGAGTGGGGCTCAGGGTCTGAGCCAAGAAACCCAGAGACCCTCCCCATGCAAAAGAGACCCTCGGGGGCCAGGCTTTCCGAGTGACAGAGTCCCGCAGGCCCCTCCTAACCTCTTCCCAACAGTTTGCCCCACACCTTCAAGGAGCCAGCCCATGAGCTAGGGAGGGCGTGGAGGATCAGAGAAGTAGAGCGAGTTGCCCAAGGTGGCCCAGCCCCGGAGGTCTGGAGCCCGAGCCTGCGTCAACCCCAGCCAAGTCCAGACACTGGACCAAGTCACCACACAAAGAACTGATGCCGTTGCTAACTGAGCCCATGTCCCCTGCTCGAGGCTTCCCTCCTGTCATCTTTATGTGACTAAGAGGATGTGATCCTGCTCAGTTCACAGCTGCAGAAACCGACGCCCAGAGAGGCTGAGTGACTCATGCAAGGCCACACAGCAGTGAGTGAAAAGCTGGGGTCCCTGTGTCTCTTGCTTGAGTCCTTGACCCACAGACTCCAGACCCTCCCCCAACCCACTTCCGTGGGGAGAGCTGGGGGGGAGGCGCCAGCTGGATCCCACCGTGGGGTCTGGGAGGCCTGCTGGGCCAGGCTGATAGGCCAGCCACGAGGACGAGGACAGGCCGTTTCTGCCCCACGAGGAGGAAGTGGTTTTGCCTGTGCGCTCAGGGGGCCGAGGGCGGGCAGCCGCACACAGCGGGTCCCAGCTGTCCCTCAGGCCTGCGCCCTGGCCCTCAGTGCATGTGGAGCCCTCAAGTGCTCTAGCTAAAAACAGAAGAAACAGCTGAACACCCAAGAGTGAGCAGACGGGGGGAATCCAGCCCTGGACTCCTGGGCCTCGACACCAACACGATCCCGAGACACAAGGTCAAGAGCATTTCCACAGAGACAGTCTGAGGGGACCCTGTGCCAGGGGTGAGACCTCAGCCCAGTCCAGGCTGGGTCCAGCTGTGGGCCTTGCACATGCTACAGGGCCACCTCCTGCACCCTTTCTGCTCACCCCCCCAGTCGGGTGGGCTTCCTCTTGCCGTCCTGTGCCCCTTGCTCCAGGTCCCCTGGGCTCCTCTGGGACTGCCACCAGCCCTTCCTGACTGGCTTCCACCTGGCAGTGAGGACCTTAGAGACTTGGACCATCTTCATTGCTTGGGGGAATACAGTCACCAGAGGGTGGGGTCTGCCCTGTCCTGGGTCCTCCCTGTGGCCCCCAGGGGCTGGCACACAGTAGGTACTCAGTGAAGGCCTGTCCAGGCCCGGGGTGGGAGTCGCCGTCCCTCCACCTGGGCCGCGGTTGGCTGGGTGGCGCCCCGCCCCGGGGCTCACCGCTGGAGGAAGCAGGAACCGACGGCGGGTGCGCCCTGCCCACGCACCGCCCGGAGCGAAACCAGGCTGGGCCGGCACCCAGGGGTCTCCAGGTACCTGTCCCCACCCTCAGCCCCCGCAGGGGCCCCTGCAGGCAGGGAATGGGGGGGGGGGCTGGGCCAGCAGCTGGGACAGGGGGGCCAGGTCCGCGGAGGCAGAGGGATTTTCCGCAGAGCTGGGAGGAGGGCTTCCTGGAGGAAGGGGCACCAGGAGTGGCCCTGGAGCTGGGAGGCGCTGTCCTGGCAGGGGCTGGGGCTCCAGCAAAGGAGTGCAGGAAGCTGGGCTCCCGCCCTCCTGTCACCCAGCCCTCCAAGACACTGGACACAGTCCCCAAGCCAGCCTGGGCAGCGCAGTGACACCGTCTCTCACAGTGGAAATCGGGAGGACGGGGCAGCTCAGGGGCAGCACCTGCTTGGCCTGCTCGGCCCTGGGTTCAAGTCCCCGGTGGGGGGTGCACAGGAAGGGAGGCCGGTGGGTGCGGCTGGGTGCGCTGGGGCCTCAGCAGCCCCCGCTCCCCATGAGCACATGTCCCGGTGCCCTGCCGCGGCCGGGCGATGCACAGCAGCCGTGGGCCTGATGGTCAGGAAGCCCGGTCGGTGGAGGCGGAGACAGAAAGAGCCCCAGCTGCTGGGGGAGGGCGGCGAGGGAGAGGGGAGGAGGAGCCCGGGGAGGAGGCCCGCAGGAGGCAGGGAGGCCGCCCTGGCCTCCAAGAGAAAAAAAAGGTCCTGGGCTGGGCCGGGCTGCTTCGTGCAGACAGAGTCGCGTGTTCCTTAACCAGGGGGCTGGGTCCAGAGGAGGTGTGACTTAGCAGCTCGTCACCTGCGCAGGCCGCGGTGACGCCAGCGCAGGGACTCGGGGATCTAAACAAAGTGAACAGAAAAGGCCCAGGAGTTACTCAGCTGTGGTGATCCGTGGGACCCACAGCCCTGTCACCCCGGAATCACGTCATCTCGCAGCACACGCCCTTGGCCTCAGCGACACCTGAGCAGGTGGATTTTATGCCCAGATGTCCCCGAAAATACAGGCACAGGGAGGTCAGGTGTCCTGTCACACAGCGGCCGAGGGGTGAGCTAAACTGGAAACCGGCTCAGATCATCGGCCTCCAACTCCAGACTCCCTGTTCTCTTTTTATTTGTTTATTTATTCTTTTAATTTGTCCCTTTTGATTCTCGTGACAGTGCAGTGTCTCCAACTCGTCATACTTACTCGGAGTCTGACCTCCCACCCGAGGCTGCGCATGCTGCGGGGCCGATCTGGCCCTGGATCCCATGTGAACACAGCAAAGTCACATCCCACTCATTCGACTCTTTCTCCAATTCCCATCCCCCTCCCCTCCCTTCATCCCCTTCCCCTAATCCAGTGAACTTCTATTCTTCTCCCCCACCCCCACTTATTGGGTGTTAGTGTCCACATATCAGAACATCTGGCCTTTGGTTTTGGGGATTGGCTTGTTTCACTTAGCATGATAGTGTCCAGTTCCATCCATTTAGTGACAAATGCCATAATTTCCTTCTTCTTTCTGGCTGAGTAATAGTCCACTGTGTATATAGAGCACAGTTAGCTATTGTGAATCGAGCTGCTATAAACACTGATGTGGCTGTGTCCCTGTAGTATACTGTTTTTAAATCCTTTGGGTATAGACTGAGGAGTGGGATAGCTGGATCAAATGGTGGTTCCATTCCAGGTTTTCTGAGAAATCTCCATGTGCTTTCCAGAGTGGCTGCACCAATTTGCAGCCCCACCAGCAGTGTCTGAGTGTGCCTTTCCCCACATCCTCGCCAGCACGTACTGTTGCTTGTACTCTTGATCGTTGCTGTTGGGACTGGAGTGAGGTGGAATCTCAGTGAGTCTGTTTTGCATTTCTCTGATTGCCAGAGACGGTGAACATTTCTTCACATACTGTGGACCGTTTGTCTTTCTTGTCCCGTGAAGCGTCTGCTCGGTCCTTGGCCCATTCCGGCTGTTCCTGTGTGTGGAGTTGTGGAGTCCAGCTCTACCTGAGGGGCGGTGAGGACCCTCCCTCTCTGTGGGCTGCCTTCACATTCTTGATTGTTTCCTTAGCTGCCAAGAAGCTTTATTAGCTGGACTCCACCCCGTGGCTGACCCTTGGCTTTGCTTCTTGTTCTGTAGGATCTTGTTGGGGAATTCCAGGCTCCTTACTGCTTGTCACCTGGCCCTGTCCTTGGAAGCCCCCAGAGACAGAGCCAGACCAGAACCTTCCAACTGCCCGAGGTGGCAGGGCGGCAGACGGTGGAGAGGGCCCGGCTTCCCGCTGACTGCCTGACGCAGTTATTTACCCTCCGCCTGCTCCGGAGTTCCCTGGGCCACACCCCAGGGCTGTGCCTGTCACCTGAGAAAGTCCATAGTGGCTGCTGGGGTCCAGGGCCCTCCCTTGGGAACAGCCCAGCTGCAAGCCTTCCTGACCCTGAGAACCAGATGGGCGGAGCTCCAGGTTGGGGACAGAAACCCCGGGGGCACCGGGGCTGTCTCACACCAGCTGGCAAATCAGTGCTCTGTCCCCGTCAGCTCCTGTCAGGGACTCTCCAACCCACAGTAGTTGAACTTGAAGTTGTGGGAATGTGTGGATGGATGTTGCCGCTGGCACACGGCAGGGGCGCTGATGTGGCCGCCACCTTCAGCCACACTGGTGGCAGGAGCCACTGCAGGCCACGTGGCCCCTTAGTGTTCAGTGAAACCATGGCAACGAGCTATTGGCCGCCATCTCCTTCATCACTCATCATTGCGTCACCTCCTCAGCCCTCTGGGGACGTTGACACGGACTTGATGTTTACATGCCACAGGCGCGGTGGTGCACAGCTGTGATCCCAGTGACTCAGGAGGCTGAGGCAGGAGGATCGCACGTTTGAGGCCAGCCTCAGCAACTTAGCCAGGCTCTGTCTCAAAATAAAAAATAAAGAGGGCTGGGGGAGGGCTCAGGGGAAGGGACCCAGGGTTCCATCCCCAGCCCCGCAAAAGCAAAAAACGAAACCAAGAAAACCCACCTGCTCTGTGCGCGCATGTGTTTGGTTTGTTCCGTTTTCCGGTGCTGCCGAGGGAGCCGCACCCGCTGGGCGACCACGCTGCCCCTGAGCGGCGCCCCTGCACCGGAGGCAGTTATTCATAAGGGGGACTCCCAGGTCCCCCAGCAGTGACCTGATAAGACTGAAGTCAAAGGAAAGGTCCTTGGAGACTTGGGAGCAGTCAATGAATGAATGGCGCCCGGTGGGTCTTGGCCAGCCCAGGGCTGGAGCCGGCTGACCCCGGCCAGCAGAGGCCAGCGGAGGCTTCCCCAGCTCGGAGCAGAGATGGGGAGGGACCAGCCTGACCCTCCCCCTCTCACCCCCAGGTGGCCGCCTGACCCCGGGAGCCATGGCCGAGGCCGAGAGGCTGCCCCCGCCGCTGCCCCCGCGACTCGACTGGTTTGTGCACACACAGATGAGCCAGCTGGCCCAAGGCAGTGTCCCCGAGTGGTTCCACGGTGCCATCTCACGAGAGTGAGGACACACCCTGCCCTCCCCCTGCCTCTTTCTACCCCCCCTCCCCCAGCAGTTGTCCCTGCAGAATCCTGGCTGCGTCCGCTCAGCTCAGCGTGACACAGGGTGAAGGGGCTCTGGGGCCTCAGGCTGGAGTCCTGCTTCCTCCGTGGGCCTGTTGTGTGACCTTGGCAGGTCACTTTCCCTCTCTGGGTCTCACCTTTTCTCTGCCACCAGGCCAGCTCTCCCAGGCACCTGGCAGCACCTGCCACCTTACCCAGGTGGGTGGCACCAACCAGTGATAGCAGGATGCAGCCTCAGAATCCTTCTTAACATGGTCCCCGACCAGTGGCCCTCAGCCTTCAGGATCCAACCAATGTGCAGCTGTCGCTCTGTGTCCACGGGGGTTGGTTCCAGGGCCTCCCTCGGACACCCAGATCCCTAGATGCCCAAGTCCCTCTATCAAATGGCACAGCAGTTGCCTAAAACCTGCGCACATTCAGAAAGCCAAGAGGAGGGGAGAAGGGGGAAAGTAGTAGCCATAGTGAACATGTGGGGAGCACTTGGGAGGGAGCAGGTCCTTCACACCAGCCTGGGAATGAGGCTTACTTTCCCCTTAGCTGAGGGTCAGAAAGGGAGAGACACCTGCCTGAGGTCACACAGCCAGTGAGCGGGGGAGCTGAGTTTTGCCTTGAAGTGCACCTGCCACAGCTCCTGCTCCATTACCTGGGGCTCTCAGTTCACCCAAAGGTGCTTTGATGGGAGGAGATCAGCCCTGGGGTCATGGTCACCAGAGGTTGACGGCCTCTTCGCCTCTGTCCCTGACTATCCCAAGATTTAAAACAACTGGGAGAAAAGTTGGGTTTCGTTTGAAAACCAGAAGAGCTGGCCACCACGGCTGTGTGGCCCCAGTGTGCTGGGCATTTGTGCCATGGCCATGTCCCTCCTGTGTGTACATTTCCAGGGCTGCTGAGGACCTGCTGGCGTCAGAACCACTGGGGTCCTTTCTCATCAGGGTCAGTCACAGCCACGTGGGCTACACTCTTTCCTACAAGTAAGGCTTGGGCTGGGGGCAGGGTGGGGCGGGGGTAGGCGGGCCCTGGGCTTTTTTGAGAGGGCAAGGGGCGCTGCACACCGCAGCTTCCTAGGGAGCAGACAATATGCAGATCCAGCCAATTTGGCTGGAGGTCATGGCTGCAGGTCTAGCTGTATCCAGCAGACATAGCTGAATCCAAGGCATGGTGGTGACTTGAGGCCAGGAGCTTCTGGGGATTCTGAGAGAGGCTACCGCCATCCCTCCACCTTCACCATCTAATTAGTGATTCTCTGACTCCTCCTTAAGGAAACCTAGGGCAGACCAACTCCGTAAGACTTCAGTCCTGATTGGCATCTCAGAGGATTCAGAAGCATGAAACCACTTTTCAACAGGCAAATCCAAAGGATTCTAGGTCAAAGGTTAAAAATCGAAGTGTCCCATGAAAGAGTTACAATGGGAAAAACTCAGGCCTGAGTTAGGTACTTGGGCCAGGCTCTGCCATTACAAGCTGTAGGACTTTTGGACATGTTACTCAGCCTCTCTGAGCCTCCTGCAAAATCATCGTCTGTAATTAAGGAATACTAATTCATTTGATTAACTGAGCATTTATTGACCACCTATTGTGTGCGAGGCACACAGCCTTGGACTGGATGGAGCCTGAAATTTCCATTGTTCCGAGTTCTAGCCATTCTCTATCCCCAGCCAGGCACTGCGTTCAGCTTTGGCCTGAAACGCTTGTTTCACTCTCGCGAGAATTCCTGAGGCCAGCCTTGGTCACCTCTTGTCATAAACGGGGACACTGAGGCACGGCCGGTTAGGAAGGGCTTGGAGTGGAAGGTGGGCGGTGGCTGGGGGGCTGCCGGCTCAGGGGGGTGAGTGGAAGGACGGGCCGTCACCCCGCAGTGTCTCTGCAGGGCCCCGAACTGCTGCCGCCACTTCATGGTGAAGCTCTTGGACGACGGGAGCTTCGTGATCCCTGGGGAGAAGGCGGCGCACGCCTCGCTGGACGCCCTGGTCACCTTCCACCAGCAGAAGCCGATTTGGCCCCACGAGGAGCTGCTGACCCAGCCCTGCGGGCAGGTGAGGGTGGGATCCCGAGGGCCACGGCGCCCTCCGGGGTCAGGACCTCGGGGTCAGTCCCCTCTCCGGCTTCTGCTGCTGCCACTCCCGCAGTGGGCAGCCCCTGTCGCCGCTGCCCTCGCTGTCCCTATCCTCCCGCGCATGGTTTCACGCTGAGGTCACCGGAGCGCCTGTGTGGGGGGGTGCACGTGGCTGATCTGTCGGGATGACATTGCCTTCAAGCCCCGAGCGTGGCCTAGAGCCCGAGACTCTGGGGAGGGCCGGATGCAGGTCCTTATAAGGCTCGTGGGCGTGGCCCAGGGCCTGAGACTGGGGCGGGCAGGATGCATCTCCCAATAAGGCTCGGTGGGCGTGGCCCAGGCCCTGAGTAGCAGCTGTGGGTGGGGCATGTTTCCTTAGTAGGACCTGGGCGTGGCCTACATCCTAAAACTACTAGAGGAGGACAGTCTGGGACCCGCTTTCCAGGGTGTGTCCAGGACCTCAGTCTTTCCGCTTCCAAGAAACTAAACATAGGTCCCTTGGCCCTGCAGAAGGATCCGGCAAACGTGGATTATGAGGATCTCTTCCTTTACTCCAGTGCACTGGCAGAGGAGGCCACCAGGCCTGTCCCTGGCCTCGGGGAACATCAAAGACCTTCCTCCTGCTCAGTGGCTGCACCTGAGAAGGTATGTGATGGGAAAAGGACACGTTTGATCTGTGGGAGAGGCAGGAGTAGAGAATGACCAATGGCTGCCAGAGAGTCTCTAAAAAGAGGATTTGATCCTATAACTAGGTGCCTAAAAGCTGTCCAAGGGAAGGCTCTGAGATTACAATCCAAACGCAACCTCAGCTCTGCTCCAGCCCCTTGGCCATTCCTTTTGTTGTTTGGATGCACCAGCTCCCCTCAGGATCTTTGCACATGCTCGTTCTTCCTCTGGGCATTTCCATATGCCCGTCCCACTCTGGGCCTTTCCCCGTACTGGCCCCCACCTCAGGGCCTTGGCACCTGCTCTGTTCTCCTCCCCCAGATTTCCATATCTGGCTTCTTTTAATTCTCCTTCAAGTGTCTCCATCCCGTCTTTGGACCTCCAGCGGACCCGCCCATTACTCTCTTCATTCCTTGCAAAGAACTCCTTGTGGCTTAAAAAGCACTTGTTTATTTCTGGGTTTATGTTTCCTGTGGGCTTCTCCGGGAGGCTGGGGAGTCCTCCTAGCATGTTCTCCGCTGCTTTTCTCACCCCACCCCCCAAAGAAGTCCTGGCATATTGAAGGAGCTCAACTGATGAATCTGAAGAGGAGATAAATGAATGAATAAATGAACGAGTGTGTCCCAGCTTCTTGGGGCAGCATGGACCTTCAGGTGCCCCTAGGTGGAGGCCTAACCTCCCTCCAGGCCTGTTCTGACAGCCAGTGTGCTGGACATCAGCGGGGCGGGGGGGGGGGGGGGTGCAGGCCGAGGGAGTCAGGGAAGGCTTCCTGGAAGAGGCTGCATAGAGCTGGGTTGGGGAGGTCAAGGAGGAGCCAGCCTCACACAGCGATCAGGACTGGCACCCAGGCAGAGGGGACAGCACATGCAAAGGTCCTGGAGCTCAGTGTGTCAAAAACAATAAAAAGTGCAGTTTGTGGATGGGCGTGCAGGTAGTGAGAGGGGAGCTGTCAGAAGGGGAGCACCGGGGTGACGAGCAGGGATTCTGTTCCAGATGTGTGGGGAAGCCCAGGGAGAGCGCCAGCGTGATGACATTGGTGGGTTCAGGCTCCGTGCGGCTGCTGGCTGCGGAGGGAGCTGTGGGGAAGCAGGGTGGAGGCTCTGTGAGGCCCCAGCCCGGACGCCCTGGGGCAGGAACAGTGTGAATAGTGGTGACGTTTTAGAAGGAAGCTTGCTGCTGGCCTGGAGCAGAGGGGGAGGGGAGAGGGACACAGTTGTGGGACGGGTCCCTTGGTCCTCTTTATTAGGAGCAGGCAGGGCAGAGGCATGGGAATGGCGGCTCCCTGGCGGAACAGGTTACTCTAGTGGCTGGTGGGGCCCAGAGTGCCCGGGATGGGCCTCAGCTGTCCCACCGGGAAGGGAGCTGGGCTTTGGTCCTCCACCTGCCATTAGGAGACCCTCGGGCTCCGTTTCCCTTGGAGACTCCCAGGTGAGAAGCCCCCGGCAGTGGCACGTGGGAGCGGGGCTGGGGCTGGAAGCACTTGGGGCCGTGGGCAGCGCTGGCACAGATGGCATCCGGATCTGCTGGGTGGACCAGGGCTTTGCAAATGTCCCTCGGCCACATCCGATCCCCTGCCTGTTTCTGTCCGCCCGGGAGTTAAACGTGGCTTTTAAAAAAGGTTTTAAATTGTTTAAGAAACGACAAGTAAAAGTCGCATTTCATAAGTAGGTGGCCCCTGGATCCCCTGTCCCTAAACAAGGATTTGTGGAGCCGTAGCTTGGCAGACCTCAGTGTGGCCCTGTGACATGTAGGCTGACACTGGGCCGCAGGTGGGATGGTCCCCTGAGATCACCACGGAGATGAAAGCTCCCTGTGGCTCCGTGTACCGTCGGCCACACCCGCTGCGCTGCCTGTCACCAAAAGCAAGGCTCCTCTGGGGCACAGTGGGTGGTGGCGCCTGCCCCGCTGGAGGCCCTGGGAGCGAGCGCCACCAGCAGAGGAAGAAGTGGCATCGTCGGGCACTGTCGACACCCGGTGGCCACGATGGCCCCATGGCCGTGTGCTCACGGTCACTGCTCTACACCCGCGCGTGGGGCTGGGGGACGGCGGCTCAGCTGGCCCAGCTCCTGGGGACACGGGGAGCCACGTCCTGAGACAGGGAGGGAGGGAGGGAGGGAGGGAGGGAGGGAGGGAGGGCAGGGGCAGGGGCTTCCCACGGCTGTTTCCGAGCCTCCTGGGGCGGGGGCAGGCCCCGATTCAGAGCTCTGGTGGGTGACCTGGCCCGGGTGTCGCCGTCTCTCCTTTGCAGGTCCCCTTGAGGCCAGCCCTGCCCCACCCCGGGACGGCGAGGAAGCCCTCTGCAGAGCCGGGCAGGGCGCCCCCCGGGGAAGCCGCTTCCTCCTGCCCCCCGAGGACGCCCTTCAGGGAGGCCGGGCAGAGGCTCTGGAGCAGCCTCAAGGCGCTGCCCGCGTCGGGCCGCATCGCGCAGCCGCAGTTCCGCTCGGCCCTGGCGGCCCTGAGGTCGTCGCTCCAGGAGGCCAGGCCGGCTCGGGGGACCCCCGGCCCCAGGCCCCGGGCGGACAGCAGGAAGCACCCAGGCGAGGCGGCCTGGAAGGACAGTGTCTCCGGGGACCCGTGTGTGGCCACAGCCTCTGACCCCTCGCAGCCGCAGGCCCCAAGACCCAGGGACGCCTCCGCCAGGAAGGCCACCAGGCCCCTGAGCTGGAGCGGGGCCACCCCGGCGGCTAGGGGCTGGCACCCATTGTTGGCGAGGGCCCTGTCTTCCCGGGAGGCCACGCCGGGGCCCGACGACGTGGCCGAGCCCGCGGAGGACCTGCTGCCTGAGGAGTACCTGCCGCCGCCGCCCTTCGCCCCCGGGTACTGCTAGGGGCGCTCTCCAGCTCCAGGACCATGGCCAGGGGCGGCGGCTCCGGGGCCTCCCTTTGCCACCGTCCCGCGCTGCTGGTCCTCGGGAGCTTGGGGGACCCAGTCCTGCAGCTGCCAGCAGGACAGCCTGCTGAGTAATAGTATTCGCAGGTGCAGCCGGGCCAGGGTGCAGGCCTGGAATCCCAGCAGCCCGGAGGCCGAGGCAGGAGGATCGTGAATTCAAAACCAGCCTCAACAACCCAGCAAGGCCCTGGCTCAAAAATATAAAAAGGTCTGGGGGTGCAGCTCAGAGGTAGCGTCCCCCGGTTCAGTCCCAGTAGGACCAGCAGCAACAGTGATAATAATAGTCAGTCATGGGGTGGCTTGAGATGCCTACTGTGTGCTAGGCCCGGTGCCAGACCCTCATCTGAGGTCCATACCTCCAGTTCGACCAACCACAGATAAAAAATATTAAAGAAAAAATTTTACCTATCCTGACATGTATGGACTTCTTTTCTTGCCATTATTCCCTAAAAAATATAGTTTTAATAGCTATGTCCGCAGCGTCTGCACCGTATTATATATTAGAAATCATCTAGAGATGTTGAAAGTCCTGTGTGTCCATGCACAGGTTATATGCAAACACGGTGTCATTTGCTATAAGTGACTTGAGCATCTGTGGGTTTGGGTATGCAGGGGAGGTCCTGGAACCAATCTCTGAGGATACCAGGAGACCACTGGACATGTTCCTCAGCAAGCCTATGCCGTAGGGCCACTCTCCACATTCTGAAGAAGAGACTGAGGTTCAGAGAGAAGAGGTAGCAGGGTATGAGCATCAGGATTGAAAGCTGAGCCATTTTGCAACCACACGGCAGGAACCTCCGCCACCACAGAGCTGGGATTTGCAGACTCAGTTCCAAGTATGTTCTCACGCAAGTGGTGGTGGCAAGCAGGGCTACTCACACCCTCCTCCCTCCTGAGCTTGGTGCACAGTAGGACTCCATCTGCAGCAGCATCAGGACATGCAATATGAGCCCCTTTCTTTTCAATAAGGAATGAGCTGGTGAGCACAGTGGCTCACGTCCATAATCCTAGTTAACTTGGAAGACTGAGGCAGGAGGATCACAAGTTCGAGGCCAGCCTCAGCAACTCAGCAAGGCCCTCAGCAACTTAGTGAGTCCCTGTCTCAAAATAGAATTTTAAAAGCACTGCGGATGTAGCCCCATGGTCAAGGTCAGGGTAAGCTGTCTAGAAAGGAGGCACAGTGGAGGTGTCTGGGATGGTCCTGGACCTGGCGTTAGCTGCAAGCCCCTTGGATAGACTGGGGCCACGGAAGAAGGTCCTGGGGCAACCCCAGTGGGGTGGCGTGATGCTCCCTGAGTTCTCAAGATAAGGAGGTGTGGAGTGAGGTGCTTCTGGGCACGAGCCAGACACTGCAAATGACTCACAGCGTGCCTTGGTCTTCCTCCACATGCAAACTGTGAAGTACCTTGCCCACCTCAGTGAATGCCACTCCTAATCCCTCCCCCTCAGAGGCGTCCCCACGGCAGTGCTGATGAGTCATCAGAGTCTCAGTCCCTTCGATGGACTTGGGGTACAGGGACAGACGACTGAGCAGCCTGTGGTGAGATTCTGCTCAAGGACCACGGGTGGGACGGGGTGCGCCTCCTCTCCCTGCCTCGGTTTTGCCTGTGGAGACCCACAACACGCCCTCCCGCCCTTCACGGTGGAGAGATCTAGAAGCCAGCTCATTCCTTGAACAAACAGGAGATGTGTGGCCCAGAGAGGGCGAGCCACACCCAAGATCACCCAGCAAAGGGTAGAGACAAGATTCCAAGCCTGTCCCTCCCGCCTGCCAGGCTGAAGATGGAAAGTGTGTCCCCCAGCAAGGGTGACTCAGTGCCTCATGTTTATTTCCAGTGACCGGGGAGGCCAGAGTCCACAGTGGGGTGGGGGCTCCCCTGCCCTCCTTGGCCGATCCTCTGGGCGGTGCTCTCAGATGCGGATATGGAAGGTGCTGTGTGCAGAGAGAAAAGGAGTCAGTGCCTCAGGGACAAGGCAGCCCCACCCCCGAGTGCCTGAGGCAGGCAGGGAACACACGGAGAAGGACCCTCTCAAGCAATTTTTTTCTTGTCCTGGGGATCCAGCCACCCAGGGGCACCTTACCCCTGAGCTGCACCCTCGGTCCTTTTTTACGTAGTTGTAGGTGGACACGGTGCCTTTATTTTATTTGTTTTCTGTGGTGCTAAGGATGGAACCCAGCGCCTCACACGTGCTAGGCAAGTGCTCTGCCACTGAGCCACAACCCCAGCCCTTGATCCTTTTTATCTATTTATTTTTTTATCTGGTCTTTTTTATTTTTATTTTGAGACAGGGTCGCGCTAAGTTGCTGAGGCTGGCCTCCAACTTGTGATCCTTCTGCCTCGGCCTCCAGAATTGCCGGGTTCACCGGCTGCACCACCGTGCTCTGCTGTTGGACCAGGGTTTACATCCCAGCTCCACCCCAGACTTGCCAGGGACTCAGTGTAGCCCTCTGTAAAATGGGGTTAAAGGCTGTTCCTCAGTGGGACTAGAGTGAGGGTGACCCGGCTGAGGGTGCGGGGGCACAGAGCCCAGCCAGTGAGTTCTCCCAGTTTTCATTTTTTGGTCTCTGTTTGTCAGGAGACCCGTCCTGCTGGGTCAGGTAGAGGAGGTCTTTTTGAGCACTGAAGGACATCATGGATAATAATGGCAAGAACAGCAGGACAGCAGGTCTTACTGATCACCTACTGTGTGCCAGACACCACCCTAAATTCTCCCTAGATGTTAACACAGGGCCCACAGCCTTATTCTGCAAAGAACAAATAATTGATATTTGTGCAGCAAATCAACTGCACAAAAGCACTCATGGGCCATATGTCCATGCATGGGCATGGCTGTGTGCCAAGAAAACCTTCTTTGTGGCCACAGAATTCTGAATTTCCTACCATTTTCCCTGTCATGGAATGTCATCACTGGAAAATGTAAAAAAAAAACCAAAAAACCTTAGCTCACAGAAAGTACACAAACAGGGTGGACGTTGGTCAGCCCTGTGGGGACTCACTCAGCCTTCGTGTCAGCCCCGTGGCTGGGGCTTTGAGTCTCCTTGCAGGCTGCCAAGTCCAGTTGCACAGTCTGTTCACTGCAAAACTATTCAGATAATGCAGACCCAATCCAGCTGTGTGGCACTTGACCAAAGAGCCACATCCACCCACCAGAGGTGCCCGTGGGGTTCCTAATGGTCCCCATTGTACAGATGCAAGGACTGAGACCAGGGAAATTGAGAAAGTTTCCCAAGGTCACAAATGAATCCACAGAGGAATCTGGAAAAACGGAGTATGTGAACGGTCTCCGTAAGGGCCCCTTGTGCGCATGGAAGTGGGCAGAGTGGGGTGCCAGGGACATCACCTGAGGAAATCAGGAGCCCGTAGAATCATGTTCTGGAAGTCTTCCAGGGACAGCCGCCCGTCGTGGTCCCCATCAGCTTCATCCAGCACCTTCTCGCACACCATGCTCACCTCCTCTGCGCTCAGCTCCCCCCGTGTCAGCTTGGTCACCGTCTGCTCCAGGTCCCACGCACAGATGTAGTCATCGTTGTTAAAGTCTGTGGTGCAGACGGTGGGGAGTGTGGGATGGGACCCAGGGGACAGGAAGCTGGGCTACCTGTCAGCACATCTGTCCCCGGTGTCACAGGAAGGAAACCCAGGCACCGGGAGACCACCCGGACCCTCAGGCTGGGATCTGGGTCGTGCTTTGGAGTTGGGCTGGGGCTGCTGGGAGTTCATTCATTCATTCAACAAATACCGTGTGCACTGTGTGCCAGACTCCATGATAACATTCTCCTTTATTTACTCACTGAACAAGAATTGAGTGCCTACTATGTGCCAGGCACATCTGAGTCAATGAAAAATAGTTATTTTTCATTGATTCATCCCAAAAGTACATATTGAGGGCCTACTGTGTGTCAGGCACCGTGATAACTTTTATTTTATTCACTCAACCAGTATTTAGTGAACACCTACTACGTGTTGGGCACTAGGATACCTGTTTTTCATTCATTCACTCAGGAGCATTTACTGAGTGCCAACTAGGTGTCGGGCTCTGAGATACCTGCTTTACTTTCATTCAGTGATTCATCTCAACAAATATGTACTGAACAGCTAGTGTGTGCCAGGCACAGGAGACAGATGGTGCCCTAAACAGACATTGTCACCACCCCTGGGTATCCCTGGAGAGCAAACAAGAAGCAAACAGACGAATGAATGAGAGCCAGCGTTGCCTGGTGTAGGGTGACACAAAAAGATCGTGGAACTGGGAGCCAGGGGCAGGACCTGCTTTTCACCCACCTAGACCTGGAGGGTAAGAAAGGGCCAGGGGAGGGTGTTGCAGGCGGAGGTCACGGCTGGGTCAAGGGCCTGGGACAGCTCAGAGTGCGCAAGGGGAAGGGCTGGGGGTTCTGGGCGGGCGCCGGGCAGGGCCAGGAGGAGGCCTTGAAGACCTGGGGGCACCGCGGTGACGGGGTCCCATCGGGTTGGCTGTCCCCACCCGAGGTCGCGCACGCACCGTAGATTTTAAAAGCGTAGTAGGCCTTGAGGTCGCGCGGAGCCATCTCGCTCATCACGGAGAACATGTCCAGGAAGTCGTCCAAGGTCATGTGGCCATCCCCGGCCTCGGAGAAGACCTGGGCGATCCTCTGGCGGAAGGGGTTGTCCTGGCACAGGAAGGACACGGAGGCCACCTCCTGAGCGGGACCTCGGAGGGTCCACGTGGTGCAACCCTCTGCACCTGCCTCCTGTGCCCTCTGCTCCCTTCCTGTGTCCCTGGACAGCACCTCAGGCAAGTCCACTCCGCCCCTGTGCTGTGGACTCCCTTCCCGCTCCAGGGGAAGCCACGTGGTCCGGGGAAGGCCAATCAGAGATTTCTGTTCCTCCTACAGCCTTGATTGGCTCCGGCATGAGCATGTGACTCAACCTAGCCAATCAGAGGCCAGAGATTTCTGTTCCTCCTACAGCTTTGATTGGCTCTGGCATGGGCATGTGACTCAACCTAGCCAATCAGAGGCTGCCCTGGAATATTTTTTTTGAAAAATTGGGCGAGGGACTTGCTTTCTGCAGCTGGCAAGGGTTCCTTCCGCTATCTTGAGGAGAGGCCGCCTGGGACTGAGCCTCTTCCTGAGAGAAGGAGGGGTGGAGGGGGATTTCCGAGCTTGTCATCAGAGGTCCTGCTTCTAGCCAGACCTGATGCTAGCCTTTTTCTGCCGATCCACTTCATTCCGTTCCCCTCAGGCGGTGACTGTCACTGCTTGCAGTGAAACAGTCTCCTGTCTGCCGTTTCTGTACCCAGAGTCCCCAGATTGAAAATGTTCAGAAAATGTGTCTGAACCAAACCTGTGCCAATTTTCTTTCTCCTGCCATTTCCTCCTAAGTGGCACAGTGTACAACTGAGTGCGTGGGTGTCCCGTCATCTAGAGAGGATTCCGA